AAGCACAATTTGTCATGTGGATTGATTTTTATTTTATTTGTTGACATTTTTACTGGGTCACTGAATATGTGGAGAGTCATTAAAGAATATATCTTAAAATGAAACATATTAACTATATTATAATATGTAGTGTACCATCTCGCGTTCCGGAGATATATTGAAATTTCTTGAATTTGTGGTATGCAAATGAGGCTATAGGATTGGTTCAACGAAGGATCAAGTCAATTGGCTTGTTTTGGATTTAGGATTAGGCATTGAGCTTGATGAGACAACGAGAAATAAGATAGGGTGCTGAGATTCTACTAATGCATTCCGAACTCAAAACTCTCACCTCCTTTAAATTATAGTAAATTCTAAAATAAATAAAAAAGAATAAATAAGGGATACTTTTGTAAATGGATTACAGATTGTCTTCATTCCCTTTTCCATGTGGAAAATATAGAAAAACAGAGGTATTTTTAGAATACCTCATTTGGTTTAAGGACCTGCTTGTTAATACATCCATTCATCAATTCATCATCATCACCATCATCATCGCCAGTACCAGCCTTCGAATCCAGTACCTTGAAGAATCATGCTAGCGCAATTAACCACTAGGCTAAGAACAAGGCCAGTGCCAACGTACGCTCAAAAATGAACTTAGTCCTCAGCATTTGAGTTTGGGCCCAGCCAATTTTATATATATCATATTTAATTCGACATTTGTAGCTTACATTTGGTGAAGCTGTATCCCCAAGTATTTGGAATGAGATACTATATGTTTATGTGAACACGAAAGTTCCTTGAAACAAGAAACAGGAATAACGTGTACAAAATAATATTTTGTGTTTAATGATTTTGGGGTTACGATCTCTCTCAAATTTGGTCCTCTGATTCTATCTTCGTAGGGTGTAGGTTTGTGGATGAGTTGTTGATCCAAAGGGCCGTCGGGGCTTGATCTTGAATAATGGTTGTGTGGATTTCTTCAAGGGCTTTTGGGCTTGATCTTGAAGGTTGATGGATAAGCGGATCTTCAAGGGCTTTTGGGCTTAATCTTGAAGAACGATTGGATGTGTGGATTTGTTGAGGTTGTTGATCCAAAGGGCCGTTGGGGGCTTATGCTTAGGATGAACGGATGAACACTTTCTTCAAGGGCCGTCGGGCTTGATCTTGAAAGAGGATTTAACGAAGAACGAAGAGAGCTTTCTTGATCCTTCGGAATTCTTGGGAATTTGGATGGTTGGAAGCTTTGGAGTTTCAAAGCTTCAAGGATTTGGGGAATTCCTCTTCTAATTTTGGAGTAGAGAAATGTATTTGTGAATTCCTTGATGCTTGATACCTTGATGGAGAAGCCTATTTATAGGCTTTGAGAATGAATCACCACCACAAAATATTTTTTTCCTTTCCAAGCACCATTGCCTAATTTTCCCACTTAATGCAATATTGAAATTGAAGTGGTGTAACTTATGGCCTAATTTCCCACTTAATACCATTTTAAACTTGAAGTGGTCTAACTTATGGCCTAATTTCCCACTTAACACCATTTTAAACTTGAAATGTGTATGCTTTGTCATTGCCCAAATGAGAAAAACTTGCTTTGATCCGTAATGGATTGAAGTGTGCTTGCCTTGTCATTGCCCAACATGAGAAGAAAAACTTGTTTTGATCCTCAATGGATTGAAATGTACTTGCCTTGTCATTGCCCAAAATGAGAAGAAAAACTTGTTTAATCCTTCAAGGGTATTTCTTCCTATTTTGTTGAGTCACACGCCATGTGTACAATTTGTACAACACGTGGCGTATGCCATGTATGCCTTGACACGTCAAAACTTTAATGCATTGGTGAACATTTGTTTTACTGAAATTTCGATGTCTACAGTTTATACTCATATTTTTCACTCCAACGTTGTTGTATGTCTCATTAAAGCATACACCAATAGAAATCACATTTGACGAAGTCGCCGGAGACAATTCTTCCAATCCACCAATAGAAATCACGGGACCACATTAGAAGCCTTAAAAAAGTGAATAACCAACATGGAGTTTGTTTCAATCTACAAATGTTTCTAATCTCTGACCTAAGCTATACATATGGTCTCAATGAAAGCAAGAATTTTTGCAGCAAATAAACTTACAAATTTTGTGTTTCATGCAAAAGCACCAAGTGCTCCATGCTCCGATGAGCGAATCCCCCCAAATCCAGCCCGTTCATTGACACAAGACCAATCAACCTTGAGCCCCCTGGCCATTAGCAACCTCCAGATGACTAGAACAAAGGATGAAGTCACAACAGAAAATGGCGAGATACCCAATATTGAGACAATAGGAAACCAAAGAGGAAAAATTACCACTCGAAAAGCACAATAGAGCCGCACGAATCAATTCTAAAGTGAAAACAGATTGAAACTACAAGGATAAAAATGCAAGAAAAAAAGTGAGACAAAAATAAAATATATCTTAAAATGAGGCATGCCAACCTATGAATTGATTGTGGAAGCATGGTTCCATTTAGAGTAAATATCGGGGATTAATATCACAATTTTTCATGTGAATTGATTTTTATTTATTTATTGAGAGATCTATTGGGTCATTAAATTTGTGGATCATTCAAAAATATATCTTAAAATTGGACACATCAACTTTAACATCTATTTATATTATAACACGCAGGTTTACCATTTTATATTTCAGGTATACATAAAAATTTCTTAAATTTGTGGATACATGCGAATGAGGGTATATGATTGGTTCAATGAAGGATCAAGTCAATTGACTTGTTAGACTTGTTAGGACTTAGGATTAGGGGTTGAACTTGATGAAACAAGAAGAAATAAGGAATATGGCATTAGGTTTTTACTCAAGCGGTCCGGGTTTGAAATTTCTCCTCCTTAAAATTAAAATAAAGTTTAGAACCCTTCCCTTCCCTTTAATAACGAATATTTTAAAAATATGGGAAATAAGGACTACGTTTGTAAATGGATTTCACTTTGTCTTCATATTGTTTCCGTGAAAATAAAGAAAAACAAAGGTATTTTAGAATACCTCATTTGGTTTATGGACCTGTTTGATAATGATAGTGCAGGTAGCACCATCCTTGATAAATAATTATCCACAAATTTAGTCTCTTGAGTATAACTCGGGTTCATCATAATCACCAAAGCCGTTACCAGCCTTCGAAGCTAGAACCTTATGGAATCATGCTAGCGCAATTAACCATTAGGCTAAGGAGAAAGCCGGTGCAAACATGTGCTAAAAAATGAACTTAGTCTACCATATGACTTTGCGGCCAGCCAATATTTTCTCTCTACATGTCATTTTCAATTTGGCATTTGTACCTACATTTGGTGAATAAGTTTCCCCATGCATATGTATATGAGATCAAAAAACTAAAAGCTCATGCGCCATTGTTTTGCTTTTTAAAATTATTTAGAATGAGATACTATTTTATATCTCACTAGAATATACGTCAGTCTTTGTGGCCTCTACTTGGATTTGTCCATCGATTCATGAGGAAGAATGAAGCGAGAGTGGTGGGGGAAAAGAAGGAAAACTGAAGGAGAAAATACGAACCAAAAAGTTAAAAGTGAAAACAATTTAGAACTGTTTCTAGATTTTAATTTGCAAGTTTGAATTTGTATATCATTCCATACACTTCCTCAACATCTCTCCAAGCTTCCTTCTTCTACCATTTATATATCTGTCTTCAATGTATTTCTTTTCTATTTCTAGTAATACTAAAACTAAAAACAAAATGGCTATTAAATGACAATGTGAAGTTGTTTTGACGCTAAATACAATAATAAGTTATACCATTGAATAAAAATAGAGTGCTGATAGGCTCATCCCATTGTCGTATTTCTATGCCTACATTATAATATCACCAATCACAAAAAATTAAAGAATTAAAATGTTATTTCTACACCCATCCTTATTCCTAAAATAACCTCTAATGTATTTTTTTTCTTCAAAGAATAATATTAATATGTTTTTAAAGAAAACCAGCATGCTTTCTTAATTACCTACCCTAGCCTGCACCAGAATGGCAGAATCTCCTCCCACCCTCATCAAAAACCAAAACATTTGACACCTGCTTGGCGGCATCTCCTTAAAGAGTGAGAAACAAAAGGGGGAGAAAGAGAGAAACATGGGGGAGATTGATCTAATACAGAGGCAGATTGCTCCAAATGGATTTCTATTCCAATTGGAATTGGATATTTCTCGATTTGAAAATGTAGGTTGTCGTCGCTGTTCATCTATGAGGAATAGGAAGAGAGGGTCGAGGTGGTAGTGTCAGAATTCAAAAAGAGATGGGGTGGTGTTTGTGGTTGGGGAGGGTGATGGATGATTGCGCACTTGATAGAGCCCGTCGTGGATGATTTGGGAGGGTGATCGGGGTGGTGTACCACTTATATTATAACACATGATATACCTGTATTCCGGGTGTACATAAAAATTTCTTGAATTTGTGGATATATGTAAATGAGTCCTGAGTTTGAAATAATGAGGAATTATAGATAGAGCGTTAGGTTTTTGCTCACGCGTCTCGAGTTTGAAAATTTCTACTCATACATCCCGAGTTTGAAAATGTAGAAAAACAAAGGTATTTTAGAATACCTCATTTGATTCAAGTTCCCTTGTGTCCCAAAGAGTCCCTTAACATTTCTCTTGATAGTAATAATCCTGTCATCAGTTCATCAGCATCCACATCGCCGGTACCTGCCTTCGAATCCATAACCTTGAGGAATCATTGCCAATGCAATTCACCACTAGGCTAAGAAGAAGGCCGGTGCAAACACATGAGAAAAATGAATTTAGTCCTTACCATTGGAATTTGGGCCCAGCCAATTTTATCTCTATTTATGTACCATTTTTAATTTGACATTTGAGCCATATTTGGTGAATAAGTTTTCCTGTGTATGTATATGGATGAAATAAAAAAAAACTCTTACGCTTTTATTCTACTTTTTAAATTATTTGGAATGAGATACTATTTTTGTTCTTATGTTTTTTACTCTTATTTCTCACTAAAACATACATTGGTCCTTGTGGTCTCTACTTGGATCTATCCATCGTTTCGAGAAGGAGGGCGAAGCGAGAAAATTTATGAAATAAAAAGTTGAGAGTGAAGGCCTCTACTTCCTTCTTCTACCATTTATATATTTTTTTTGGAAAACTGAAATAAAATATATGAAATATAAAGTTGAGTGTGAAAACAATTTGGAATTGTTTCCAGATTTTTGTTTGTATTTTCAAATTTGTATATCATTCCATTACATGTGCTCAATATCCCTCCAAGCTTCCTTCTTCTACCATTTATATATCTTTGTTTTCAATATATTTCTTCTCTATCTCTAGTAGGAGTAAAATTAAAAATAAAATGGTTATTAAATAAGAATGTGAAGTTGTTGATGCTAAATACAATAATAAGTTATACCATTGAATAAAAATATAAGTATAAAATGGTTTATTTAGGAGTGGGCCAAAATTGACCGATTCATTAAAATTGTTTTTAGTATATGGGGAGTTGGTAGACAAGTTTTACACGACTCATAATTTGTACAAATATAGGTCCATAAACAGAGATAAATGAATTTCCTCAACACATATTTCTTTTACTCATACCTATACAATGATGTATCTTCTAATTCATATAGATTGCATACAACTAAGCTTTGTATTCCTTTATCTCAATGGAATTTGGTATGGTTGGCGTTTTTTTTTTTTTTTTTTTTTTAAATAAATGATATTATCTATTCTAAGGGGGAGGGATGTGCTTAACCTCCCAATGAGTTAGCAATAATGTGGTTCAAATTTGTCTTTGGTGAGAATTGAACCTAAAACCTCTTATTTATAAGTGAAGAGGAATACCGTTAAACCATAATATTAAGTGAAAAATAAAATAAAATAGTGGAATGAAAAACAATATGTATATTAAGAAAACAGAGGTATTTTGTAATACCTCATGTTGTTGATATATATGTTTCCTCTGAGGGGGGCATGATGAAGAACATCAAATTCACATGATACCAACCCTCGAACCCAGACCCCACGAGGATCATGCTTGTGCACTTTCCATTAGGTTGGAGGAAGGCCGGTGGTTGATTTGCAAAAACGATTTATTTGAAGCTTTCTACTATTTGGATTTGACCCCAACCAATGTTTTCTCTAAAAAAATATTGTCCAACCATTAAGGAGAAAAACATATTTGAAACAGGTTCATTGCTGCGTCGCGGTTCTTGTACCAATAATGCATTGCCGTGTACAAGTTTTTTTCTACATGAAAATGTATGATTGGGTCAAGAAGCTACGTGGCGATGAACAAAAAATTTAAGGAAAATAAAAAGCGGCAAGGCAAGTTTACATAAGTGATAGGTCCAAGCTGTAGTACTAAAGGTTGAAGTTCTCAGAATAAAGAAATTTGGCTTTAAAGAGATGGAATCGTGTCCTTATTGTCTCTCAATACCCTAAACAAACAATGGATAGATTAAAAGTTGGATTACTCTTGCTCATGATCAATCACATTTTGTGAAACAAAAAATAATCAAGAAAATTATGGAGGCGACACGTGGACTTTTGGGTGAAAAAGACAAAATTACTCTTAAGGCACACCGGGACTTCCACGCACATACAATGGAGAATAACGGCTCAATTGAGGTCAAAGGTGATCAAAATGGTATTCTTTTAAAACTCTCTCGTCACTCCTCATCAAGTCTTCACCCATAAGGTAACTCCTAATTATTCTTTTCAAATTGGGATTAATTGCCAACATTAATTGATTAATTTCCAAATTAATTGTAAGATATTCTTTTACATAATATCTTGCAATCAATCACACAAATCAACCAAATGTGGCCGGTCCCAATTCTCCTATTAGGGCCGGCCACACTCCTATATATAGCCACTCATTTTCTCCAAAACCTAAGTCCAATTCTCTTCTAAAATTCTCTAAATTTCTCTGAACACTTTTCCCTCAAATTCTAACTTTGGCATCGGATATTATTCGACCAAAGCCCCCCATTCATTGTGGGCGTGTGAGGCTATTGGCCTTGATCTTAGGTGTTAATTGTTTGCAGGTGTATTGTTGTCCAAGAAAAAGAAGGTGGAAATTTGCATCCACAAATTGGTGCTTTCATTGAGAGTCCTTGATTCAATGCTCAAAAGAATACCTCTCGCATTTAAGGTTTTTCGTTTTCTTGTTCATTTGTAGATTTTTCGTACGCTCTCATTCCTAGAATTTTTTATAAAAATTCTTTGAATCAACGTAAAAGAAAAGTACAATGACAAGAAATTCAAAAATCACGACGAACGGAAATTCCAATATTCAAGAATTGGGACCACAGCGATCCACGAGGCTTGACGCGACGACAAGTAGAGTGGCACCACCACAGCAGCTACCATGGCAACAACCACAGTGGCCACCCACGGTGAACATGCCACCTCGCAGCAACAGGCCCAAGCCTGTGCCACAAGGTAAACAGGCTAGATCAAGTAGGCCACGGTCCAAAAGGCATAACCCTTGAAGGTAGCCTAACTTGCTACCACTTCAGCAGTCTAGGCCCAGACGCCAGCAGCAAAAGCATGGCATGCCCATGCCCATGCCATGGAGCAATGGCAAGCCCAGGCCCGAGCTATTTTGCAAAGCCTGGCCCAGGCCCGCAATACACAACAGCCAACCCAAGCAGCGCCGATGAGAGGGTAGGCCTAATGCACGTGGCCCAACCCACGCTAGTGATTCGCCCACTTCGAAATGCAGCCCACTTCTGTGGAGTCCTAAGCAGCCCAAACCAGTCCAAGACTGGTTCAACCATCCCGGCTCCAAATTTATGGGCCGACAATTGAATCGAGGGCATTTTCACCACATTTCTCCCCAGATTTGACATTTCCCAACTTAGATCTCGTACCCGGAGTTTACCACACTTCTACTACTCAAGGAGATGAATTTCATCCAAGCTCTTCCAACCCTAATAGAGAACAACACTTGTCTTGACAAGTCATAGAGTTGACAAGCGCCCTTTCACAACAGACAACCTTGGTGAACCAACTTTTGCAGCGCACCGAGATGCAATGTGCCCCTGACGAGGTGTCCCGAAGTAGGACAAGGGCAGATGATGAACTTCTCCAGCAGCGTCCTAGCAAGCAATCACTTGACCAGTCACGAACCAAGCGTTTTGGCAGTGTACACTCCCGACTGGGCTTCCAAGATAGCGTATACTCTCGTCTTAGCGTGCGGATGAGCGTGCACTCTCAGTTAGGCCCACAAACGAGCATACATTCACGATTGGGGCCACACACTGATAATCAACATGAGTAACTTTCCAGGTGAAGTGTTCATTTGTAGCTAAGCCTGCAAGGAGCATCATCCACCTCACATCGGAGTAGGCAACACAATGGACAAAAAGAAGCAGTCACTCAATCTTGCTCAAGTTCAACCGGTAATATGCGAGTAATTTGCTCGCCTGCTAAGAGCATACTACATGCACTGCAGCCGCATCATAGATGAGTCGAGCATAGAGAAGAGTAGCCTAGGCCAACAGGTCAAGACCGAGGGAAAATTTAGGAAGAAGTTGAGAGGCTCTTGATTGCACGATTGTGTGATTTCCAACGTAACAAAGCGTGACGAGCCATGACATAAACATGTCAACTTTCATTGACAAGATCAAGCAGACAGAACCATTCCACATACACTGAAGGATACAATGATTACTTTTGTTCTGATAGAAGTAGTAACTCAGCCTAATCGCGCGTCGGGGGTAGGTTGGTACCAGAATGACACATTAGCCCAACTACCAAGAACCAGAAGCATGTCTTGTTTTTATCACAACTCTGAGCTTAAAGTCGTGCCTACATGCTCCATGGCTCCCAATTGCCCTTGATTTGTCACCATGACTCTTAGGTGTGCCAATCTTGCACCACAGTTCCCAATCATACCACCTTGTGGCTCCTATTTGCGCCGACCAAGCCTATGGCACTTCAAACTTCAAAGTATCCAACGATGGAGCAAAAGACAAGGCTTTATTAGCAGCCCCTACTAGTGAAAGACTTAGCTGTGAGGAACTTTACAATCTATTCAGATTCTCAGCTGATCACAAACCAAGCCTTAAGATGGCACATGACGAAACATCTAACGATGGCACAATACTTGAATAAAGTCTGGGAGCAGCTCGATGCGCTTCCCACTTACACCCTATAGCGGGTTCCACAAACAGTTCGAAGTCTTAAGCAGATAACCAAACAAGACCTCGCAGGCTGATGTTTATTTTAGTTGTTTAGCAGTGCAGCTTTCTTTAGCTGCACCCACGACAATGACTTCCAAGCTTTCCAGTGTGAGAGGGTAAACTAATTGCATTTTAGTGCAAAAGGGTAAACCAATTCCCCGACACCCATATGGGTCTGCTCTCTAGTGCGAGAGGATAAACTAATTGCTCACCAATGCAAGAGGGTAAACTAATTCCCAGACACCCATCTGGGTCTGTTCTCCAGTGCGAGAGGATAAACTAATTGTCTCTAGTGTGAAAGGGTAAACTAATTCCTCGACACCCATCTAGGTCTACTCTCTAATGTGAGAGGATAAACTATTACTCTCCAGTGCTAGAGGGTAAACCAATTCCCCGACACTCATATGGGTCTGCTCTCTGATGCGAGAATTATACGCACACAAATTAAACCCTCTTTTTGTCAAATTGTAGTAAAGATGTAAGTAGGGATCGTTCTAGACCGGGGATTAGGAGGGATTGCTAAACACTTGGAAACTGACTTAAAAACTCAAAAACAAAGTTTAAAACACTAAACTCGACTCAAAGAATGCAAAACTAAACTTTAAAACACTAAAACAAACCAAAAGACTCAAAACAGCACCAAAACACTCAAAACTGCCTTAAAAACACTTTCTGGGCAGTTTTGAGCACTTTGAGTACTTTGGACGAATTTGGGTAACAAATTGAATCAAAACACTTATAAACACAAACTAAGACACTTTCTAACTAATTTGGACAATACAAAGACTCAAAGGACTCAAAACAAGTTCAAAAGACTCAAAACTGCCTAAAAACACTAACTAGGCAGTTTCTGACCTTAAACCCAATTTTGGACGAATTTAAGTTGTAACTTAACTCAAGACTCTTAAAAACACAAACTAAATTGATTTCTAACTAATTTGACAATAAAGTAAAGGGGGATTTAGGGTTTGACGAAATTAAACT